TAACACAGGCAAAAAAGCCCATGGTGTTCCCAGTACAGTTAGGCAACTAACATACTAACCACATCTATTTTGGTATCACATCTTACTGTATCACTCAAGGAGGACGAACAGTCAAAAATAATTTTCCCTCAAACACAATAATCAGGCTTGTATTTGATGTTGAAATTACAGGTGGTTTTGCATTGCAAACAACTTTGTGGCAGTCTGAAAATACAGACTTTTTTCTCCCTCAGTACACACATGCTGATTTACGTTGTCATTTTGGTAGAAGGAAGTTTCCTATGTATTTAAAACAAAACAACCCTTATTAAAACATAACGAGACTCTGAAATTACAAAGTAGAATCTGGGAAAACATCATCTAAAGATAACCTCACACTCCTGTCATAACTCTGTGGCTATAACCAGTGTAAATCGCTTGAGTTCTGTTATTTTTAGAGAAACATGCTGCAATGTACTGCCCATCAGCGGGGTTCAGTTCCCAACACAATTATGCCCTTGTTCAGACAGATCAGTATATGCTTTTTTTCCTGTAAAATGAAAGCCAAATGGAAGTTTGAAGACTGGTCAGCTTCTTTGTGAGTATCTCATGCTTGGAAGGGTAGTAATGAAAGGGCAACATTCACTGTGGGGCTGCCACAGTATTATGGTGCTTTTACCATATTTTATATAGAAATTATTTTTCATTTGTAGCTTTATGCCATAAGATATATTATAAGAAATAAAATACAAATGATAAATGTAAGGGAGTTCTGCCTCTAATCTCAGCATCCAGATACACATGCTTACATAAAGTGACAAGGATGGATCAGTTTGGGAAGTCATCATTTTACTTACTTTATTCTAGTTACTGAACATGTTAAATGTGCAGCACTGTGACAGTATGAATGAAATCCAGAGATGCAAAGATTCAGAGATAATACTGTAGACCTGGATTAGTGACATACATCTGTACTGCAAGGAGAGCACTCTAGACTCTGAGGATAACTTCTGCTAACTATTCTAAGGCTACTGCAGTATCAATTGTATGGTACAAAAATATATGCAAACTTTAAACAGTTAACAGTTTAAAAAGATCAGGAAATCAATTATGACCAGCCAAAAAAACTTTCAAACACTACTGAATCTATTTATTACTTACTTTCCCATTTCAAACCCAGATTTTCTGCCTCTGTTAGCAAAAAATATACAATTATATAGTGAGATTGTTCAAAGAAGTCAGAAGTTTCCATTTAGGATGGAAAATTATGTAGCTAAGCTTCCTGAAGTGCTGATCAACCAGCAAGTTTGAATCAGTTTATGCATTTTAAAATATCACTGTTTAATGTCAGGGTCTAAATACGAATTAAGCTATTGTAAATTATGCTCCTTGATGCAGTATGGAGAATAGCTAATACAATACTTTTTCCTTTAAAACATAGTTGTAAAACAAAAACAAACAAACAAAAAAACCAGCACTGTCACCTTGTTTCCAACTGCAACAGCGCTGCAATCACAGTACTGCACTACTACTGTACTTGCAGCAACAAAAGCTCTACAGACTTGGCAACATAAAAGCAGAATCTTGTAGCATGCAAATTAGGTGCAATCATTCTCTTTGCATCCTTAACTAAATTCTAGGTAGCCAAAGAACTGGTAGATTTATCCTGACAATCCTGATTTCTGTCTTTCATTGTAAATGGTGCATTTCTTTTTAACATTCAAAGTGTATAAAGCAGAAACTGGAGCATTGATCACAGTGCAAAAGTAATCAATGAGAAGATAAAAGGAGGCAATGTACCTGACTGGACAAGAAATCTGTCCTCAGTGGTGGAACACTTCTCACTGAGTGAATTCTAGATACCCCAAACAGACAGTAGGGCCTCAAGTTAGATGAGAGGGGATTCAGGTTGACTGTTAGAGTGGTCAGGCACTGAAATGGGCTGCCCAGGGAAGTGGTTGAGTCACCGACCCTGGAGGTGCTGAAGAACCATTTAGATGCTGTACTCACATCATTTAGTGGGGAAATATTGGTGGTAGGTGGAAGGTTGGAATGGATGATCTTGCAGGACATTTCCAGCTGTGGGAATTCTGTGATTCTCTGACACACCTGAAGCCTTTTCCTTGTTTGTAAAACAAACTCAAATAAACCCTGCTTGCAAAATGTTATGGAACCAGAAAACAACACTGAGGTGAAAATATTTTCAACAGGTATCTGCATGAACAAATGAACAACTGGCGTTTGGATAGTACAGGACTATGGAGAAAATGAGTTTCTCAAAAAGTATTTTGCACATTCCAGCAATGCTGCTGTCCTGGAGATTTTGTCCAGATCAAAGCTTCTCAAACATGGCATCAGTTCAAGCTTGTTACTATGCTGAAGCTTCTTACTATCCTACGCTGAACACTGCAGTTGTAATTTCTTCTCTATCATATCTGAACTTATCTTACTCTTCAGAGGAAGTAAGCTAGAGCAGACAACAAATACCACTTGAGTATAGTTCATGCAGATATAGAATTATTAATTATTTGCTTTTAGTGTGTTTCAATTCAACTTTACAAACCGTGTTCTCTATTTCTGCACTCATTGCACAGTACATACATAAAACACATTATACTTTTTCACTAAAGAATTACTTGTTCTCATTCCTTTTCCTAAAATAAATTCAAGTTAAAGTACATTATTATGGATGCCTAGAAAAGAAGAACACGTAGATCTAGAACTTTCAAGTTATTTTCCTATTTAGGTTATTCATTATAACTTAAAAAGGTTTCATTCTGGAATTTGCTGAATTATATCACTATGGCAACACTAGAGAAGTTGGCAGAACTTTTGGAAAGCTTCATTATCCAGACCTTTTGCAGTATGACAAGCTAGCAGTTCAGTTCTGCGACTCATTGTTGCTTACCACCAAGAATGAGAGATTAAAATAACTATGCAAGGCTCTCTGCTGGACACCACAGATATTCATATGCTGGAAACTGGCCTACCAACAAACTAGAAATCAAAGGTAGAACACTCAAGACTCCAATGAGCAAACTGCCAGTACCTTTTTCTCTTTTTCAAGACAAATGTCAGTAAATTCCCTTAGTTTAGAACAGCATGCAATGGCAGAAGAGGGAAACATGAAGTGCTGAGATGTTGTAAACTTTCAAACCAGCACCCTCAAAACTGGAAGTCCAACAAGACTTTATCACCAGAGAAAGTCAGTCAGATTGGATATTATTTGATTACAAATTGAATTTACTGACAACAGTGGGATTTTCATTCTGCATAGCAAACATTTGCTAGCAACACTCTTTTAAAGTTTAAATAAAAGAGAGCCACTCGTTCAGGAAGAAAGAGATCTCTAAGTGCCAAAAAATTCCAGTATGACTGTATCCTCAACAAAATGCAATTGAATATATTTAAATATCTAATACCAGATGGAGAGTTTACTTAGACATATGTCCACTATACCAGGCTTGACTGAATAGCATATGCCACAAGGACATGTCTTGCATTGAAATGCACACACAAGTAGAGAGACACTTTGGTTGTTTTTTGTTTTTTTTCATGTTAATATTTTAAAGGATGTTCCTGAAACAGTGGAGCAAGGATGCAGATCAGATCGTTAGTTAGATTAGTCTTTGGCACTCTCATTACTCACATTTGAAAACCCTTCCCTCTGTATAATTTAACAAACAGAAGGCAGGACTGTGGGTAAATAAAGGTATCAGGGAGATTTAGAAATGGAATCCAATTAAAGTCCTGCCAGATCAAAGCCACTGTAGACCTCATTTAAAATTCATATGTTTAAAACCACAGAATGTAAACTTCCAGTTACACTGAAAGCCATGACATCCAATAGCTGTTTGGACTCAAAGGAGGCTGTAAGTCTCCACTCTTACGTGCACATTTAGAAGCTGGCACAGTTACCTTGCATATTGCCTTTCCTTTCCACACTTCGGGAAAACGGAACCGCAGTTTTGCACTTTCTGTACTGAACTTTCACTGTACTCAGCCATTAGTGAAGGCTGTCACTATACACTCTCTTTGCATAGTTCCATGCCAAAAGACAGAACTATTTATGAACCTTTGTAGAAGCAGAGGTTAAACAGGGATACCAACAGGAATTGAAGGTGTCTTAGAATTCAGGATCTTAAGCAGAATTCTTTGGGCAGGATGGTAAACACACTGTGTTAGTCCTAGACTATCATACCCAGCAGAATAACATAAGCTGTGATAGACTCAATTCAATTTCTTTTATTTTCTTTTCCAAATAGAAAACTAATTTGAAGAAGGATCCTGTTCTCTAATTCCCTTTACATTTTCCATAACTAAAAATTCTCTTTAAGGTCTTTCCAAGAAGAGAATTTTTTTTTTCACGTCTCTTTTTGAAGAATCACCAAGACAATATCTTTGCTTATCTGTCAATGTGGAAAAAAATCCCTGGAATATCTATCTATGATGGAATTGCAGCTATGATGATGTAGTGATAAAGGAAGAATTATTTGATCTGTTACCTCATTAGATGATCTGATACAGTTGGAAAGAAATAACAAAACTAGTAAGATTCCACGCAGTACAGACATGTTTGATGGACTATTTTTCTGATATGGACCTCCTTCTACTTCCCCAGACTCACTGCTTTTAGAAGCATACTGTCTCACTCCAGCCTCCTTCCTTACAGATGCACAGTCCCACCACTGCACACACACTCTCCCTTTTCTTTAAAATTCTAAGTGATTACTGTACTTAGCTCACTCAGAGCCACTTTTTGCTGCCTCTGCTTCAAATCTGATGGGCTACACCCAAATTCTAGTTTTCCCCCAGTCAGAAATAGTTGCATTTAATACTTATTATATATAAAAATACATACAATATATGAACATAGACTTTTAATAGATATTTTGGTAGAAATTTCTTGTAGGTTCATTATTTGTTTAGTATCTTACAAGAAGCTGCTTGAACCACATTTCCTGTTAGAACTTACTTTTGCCCAAAGGTACATTGACAAAGTCAAAGGCTATGTAACTTACCAGAAATGCAAACTTGGTGAATACTTTCAGTCTTAATTGTTTCTTTGGTGAACTGCATTCATTTGTACTCTGTCTGTGGCCAGATTCAGAGGCAAAGACTAGGTCTCAAAGCTGCAAAAGTAAATAAAATTCTGTATGGACGCAGTAACACAGTTGTAGAATTTCTAACTTAAATTACATTATGTTTTCTGGTATGAATTTAATTCCTTAAAACATGATTAATAGAACAATATACATTTTATTAGGATGTTGCTTTTGCATAGCCTAGGGACTGAGGGAAAACATGTTCAACAAATAGAAAATACTAAACTATAAAGTCAACTTGGTATGCAATGCTAACTAAAATCAGATGTACCTCACTGTTAATTTTCCCTTCATAAAACAGAAATTACTCTTCCTCAACTTCAGTTTACTTCTCATTACTACACAATGCTTGTTAACACAAAGTAATAAAACTCTGCAAGATTCTACAAGAATATTTTATGGACACATGGTTGTGTGTGGGAATCGATTCGACTGGTTAACAGCATGATCTTTCAGGGTTTTATGGTAGGAAAATATTTGGCTTAAAAAGCAAAGTGTATTCATGAGTGTTTGCAGCTTAACCACACTTTATGTTATATTCTTCTAAGGATCTCATTATTAGCCATGTTATGATTTGCTGAGTTCTAAATTTAATTGGAATTTGGAAGATGGATGCAATACCTGCACGCCAATTGTAACTTCAACTCTTTTTCACAATGTTCTTTTTCAGGCCCCTCATGCCTTTAGCATTAGGCACCCAGTTCAAGAACTCAAACAGCAAAGTAAATGAGAAACAATGCATGGTTTGAGTTGGATATATTAGCTTTTGCTTGGGAAAAAGAAAACACTAGAAAAGTAGAAATGAACATTTCTAATACTTTTGACAAACAAACTAAAGTTTTGTTGCTAAAGTGAAATATCTAAATAACTGGGAAAACAAAATCCTGTAGCTGGAATTCTTAGAACAGCGTAAGCTGCAGCTGTTCCTGTTTTTCTCCATTCTGCACAAACTGCCTTGGTAATCTTTCTTCTATCTGCTACTTCTATCTTGAGAAGAATTTTCATGGGTGTAAAGGACATACAGACAAGAATCAAAATCAGAATGAAGAATGTACAGGCAGTGTAAACAGATTTCTCCATTTTTCTGCCCAACAGATCTCACCAAGTTACAAACTGAAACGTTGAGCCTTAAAGAGAGTTCTTTATTCCATTTATGCTTCAGAAAAAGAGCTGTTAAGTGGATTCAAACTATTTGCTCTTCTCAAATGAATAAAAACACTCTTCTCCATTCTTCCTGTCCTGTTTAAGCAGTTTTCCTTCTTGCTCTGGTGACAGTAACATAATCTCCTAATTCCATATGCTGTATGATCTGTCTCATAATGTACAACGTTTATTTTGATATGATTATATATGCAACACAAACCTAAACTCTAGAAATACTTAGCGTTTTAACTCTCACTTATCTCTTCTGATCAGTTGAATCCTCTTAGAAATGGAGATGATATTACTTGTATATTTCAGACTGGAACAAACTATTTTTTGCCTAAAACATTTTTATTTATTTTTTTTTTTTAAGAATGCCTGTTTATTACCATAACTGCAGGTACAGGAAAATGCCTAAGTTTACTATGCATAATATAAAAAAAAGTTTTAAACACCCATGTATTAAAAATAAAAGCAGTTAAACCAGCAATCTAATTTTGGATTTAGAAAGGGACGTTAGATAGACTGATGTCCTGTTTTGTCCTATAAAACAGTTAGATACCTTTAGAAAATGAGCTGGAGGTTAAAAACTTTTCTAGGAGGCATGGTTATAGATGTTCCTGGAATTACAATCAATGATAATCATTAACTGTAACTAAAAAAAAGAAATCCTGTAAGTTCAGGATATCATTAATGACTGTATTTCAAGAAAGAATATCATGTGACCAAAAAGGATATTTTAACACACAGGTAGAATTAAGTTCCTCTTTCTTTATCTGATCATGTCTGCCACATGCAAGGAAAGGCCAACAGGCAGTGGATTACTGTCACAGCCCTGAAGCCTTCGGTAGCTCAAAGAGAGATTCCAGTAATCCTTTATTAGTATCAGAGATGATCCTAGCTTCAGTGTTGGTCATAGGAACATTCATTATGCTGCACATATTGAATAAAGATGTTTGGGGTGAGATAATTATGCAAGGAGGGGAAAGTCTGTGAATTATTTAATGCTTGTGGTACTACTTCGCTTACTAAATAACTGCACAGTTAAACACGCTGTATCTTTTGCACAGGGAGGCTATTTGGAAATGAAGTAACACTCAGAGGCAGTGCTTAAATCAGTCTAAAGAACTCAGGAGCTCTAGTCTCTTAATTGGCCTATATTGTAGTACTCATTAGTATCCATGAAGATGTGTCCAAGTGGGGCTGTTCAACATTTTGCCATAGCCTTCCTGCTAATGAACAAATAAACCAGATCAATGTTAGTTTGGATATTCCCAAAATCCTGCAGCATAATAAAAATATCCCCTGAATCATCTTTGACAGAGATTCATTAACATAAGTGCTGGAAAGTTCTGAGAATGTCTCAATGTGTTTCTGCAGGCAAAAGCTCAGAATGTAAGACCTTCTTCGTATGGTGCTGTAACTTAGATGGCAAAACAGTTTTTTAAAAATTTGACTTAAGCCCTGACTCAGTTTCCCTCTTTTGTTTTTTTCAGCTTCCATTTAAAAGATTAATAACCAGAAAACAGCACTAAGTTAGGTGTCCATGGAACAGTACTAGAGCCAAAGAACAATGCTCCAACTTGAAAGCACGTTGCGCATCTTTTTGTTACGTGTAAAGCACAACTTACCTTTATTTTTGTCATTTATGTGCATTCCCAAATGTTATTTTCTGTGAATTGGTGCTCCCTGTAAAACTACAAAATAATAAAAAAAAGAAATGGTCACATTCTACTTTCTTAAGGTCATACTATAAATTGTCACTCATGTTACCATGGAAACAGAGTGGATTTCATCATTATAATGCATGCAGCGATAATTGTTTTTATTTTAGTCCATGGATAGGTAGTTAATGGTGCCAGCTGCAGTTAGCAGACACAGATTCTTGTCATCTAAGCACAAAGCTGCTGTCGGCCATCACTGTGAGCTCCCCTAACCATCAGCAATTCATAGGGGAACATCGGCAGAAAGAAGAGCTGTTAACAGGCCTTAGTTCTGTGGCTGAAATAGATTTCCCTGCAGGGATTGTGTTTTCATATGAAAAAGAAATAAACAAGCCACAGCAGAGTTCTTCACACTGTCCAGTCAGGTCTCTGCAGAAAAACTGGTCTCCATGTGGCAGCTTATAATACTTACATCCTATTGAAAAAAGGTTCAACTGCTATCCTTCTCGCAATGCAATTTTTCTCAAGAATGTACAGCTAGATATTATGAGGCTGCAGTTAACCTCATAGCTCTCTATGCAATTGCACACTTCAACCTTAGATCAACAGGTATTAAGTAAATGAAAATACTGCAGTTCTGTGAGTTTAGAGCCACTGCATGTACGCTCAAATTTATGTTTATCTAAAATACGCAAGTAGTTACCAATACATAACAAAATCATAAATGAAAGCAATATAGGGTAAGGGATAACAAGTGCTGTGGGATGATCTAGAGTCATCCAATCCCTACTTAAAAACAGGTTGCATCAGTTTTAAAATGTACAAGCAGTAATGCACTGTGGGGCCATTAACAACAGGTAGGGAACATTGGATTTGGATGCCATCCTTCCTAAGGTACAAACATGCACACTATTTTTCTTTCACACAGAATACTGAACTTGAGTTTTCCCTAAATTTAGAAAGCATAATATAGTTTTGGTTCCTTTGGATGTGCATTTCAGAGTGTTACAAACTGGTTGGGTTTAACAGGGACCTCAGGAAGATGTCATCCATCCCCTCCAGCAGAGTCAATTTGAGCAGGCTGCCCAGGACCATGTCCAGACCACATTTCAATGGTATCTTCATGGATTCCACAGCTTCTCCAGCCAGTGCTTAGTCACCACCACAAAAAAAAAAAAAAAAAATAATAAAAAAATAAAAATAAAAAAAAATCAACACCAAAACAACAACCACAACAAAAAACAGCCCACAATTTCCTCACTTTCAGAGGAAAGCTCTCATGCTTCACTTTGTGCCCACTACCTTTTGTCAGCAGGCAGATCACAGTACTATTTTTTGACCATATAAGTGGCCAAACAGTGGGATAGGAACACCTTACTGAGAATATGACAGATAACTTGAACAGGTTGCCCAGGAAGGTTGTGGAATCTCAATTTATAGATATACTGCAAAGTCTTCTGACCATGATCCTGCTCAACAAGCTCTAGGTGACCCTGCTTGAGCAGAGGCAGCTGGACAAGATGATCTTCAATGGTACTTCTGTACTTCAACCACCTATTCTGCACAAATATGGGCAAAGCATCATGATAAAGAGAAGCAAGCCAAAGCCTACTGGAATCAGGTGTCCAATGTTGTGAGAGAAAAATATTTTTCATAATAAATGTCAGTTAATTCCCTGAACTGGCCATTCTAATTTTCAAGATTATTTGAGGAACAGAAACCACATGTTGCAGGTCTTGGCACTGGACCAACTTCTACTTCAGCAATGATCCACACAATCCGCTGAGCAACACACAAAGTGCTCTTTCTTACTGTACATTTAATGCAGAAAAACTATCAAAGCTGTTACTTTATATGAAAACTTTCATTATTACTTTTACTAAGATTTGGCTTGGACTACAAAAGATTTATTACCAATTGGTTATTCTCAGTTCATGTTAATTTGGTTATAACTGATGATAGTTATGTGGAATATTGTCTCATCCTTGTAAGAGATGCAGCTAATGTGTAACTTAAATATTAATGAGCTTATCTTTGTAAGGATAACTGCAAAGCTTAGTGTAAATTATTACTCAAAGAGACAATTATTTTTCCTAAACTTAAGGTACTTCAGATCAGTAAGTTTAGAGGTTAACTATAAAGCACCATTTTCTGTACTTAGTCTTCCTTGCTCAACACGAAAAAATAAACCGGACAAGATTTTATTTCCCTCTGCCATATCCCTGTGCAGCTTAGTTCTGAAAAAAATCTCATAGAAAGCAACAATTTTGTATTAAAAGCTTTTGGATTTTCTTGACAATTTTCCCAATTTAGAACTGACAAAAATGCTGTAATAAACTAGAACAGTTTCAACAAAAGCAGATATTTATGCAAGGCATTCTGAAAACTTAATTATGGCTAGAATTACACTTGGGAATGTCTGTTTAGAGGTCCCATCTGTGAAGACAGCAAATTATAACAGACAAAGCATTGATTGTGGCATAATTTTTGAATGCCAATAATGACAATAAATGTTGCTCAACAGGTAACACACAGCAGTCCCCAACTTACACAGCTCTTTCATTGATCACTCGTCCTCAGATCCCAGGAATTGTAATGTATGTATTCATAGCCATCAGGTTTTACACAGCATCTCCGTGCATGCCTCCAATTATTGAAGTTTTCCCAACTCCTCTGGGATTCCTCACTCTGCACATATGTACCCTACTTATTCTGTATTTAGGTCACATCAACTATGCACACACAGCAGCACCAAAGAGGTCACCATATGTCCAAGAATTCCAGATACGTTTGTGATACACGTGCATTCTGAAATGTATTTAAAACAAACGAGCACACATATATTTATTTGTTCACAAATATAGTAAATCACAATTGTAATTTTAACAATACATCAGCTGCCTTGTGCAAACATTGTTTGGGGGGAAACATTAGGTTTATTGCACAGGCGCTCCACAGTGCATATACACAGATAACTTCCTTGTACATCTCAGGCAAATATGACAGTTGTATATTTTCTGAATGCTTTCCAGGTGGACAACCAGACTGGAAAGTTTCTGCTGCAGTCCTATAGGCTATATTTGGTAATAACTCATTTCCCAGCAAGTATATATAAAACTACGCTAGATGGAAAAACAAATTTGTAATTCTCACCGTTTGAAAAGAACTCAGTAGAAGGAAAACTGAGAGGCTTCTGTGCAAACGCTGCCTGATGCACAAAGCTGGCAATGACTGCACTATGATCCTTGTTCTTCTGACCCCAGCACACTCGCCCACAACCTGGCTCATCTGCTGAGGCAGGCACCGAGCTGGGACCTGGAACAGAAACAAAATGTGATCAGTGAGGTGGTTTAGGCTTGTTTTATTTTTACAAATACACACTGTGAGCAAGCATAGGTAACAATGAATACACTGTAGAAGGAAGAATAATTTAGACGTATTTCAGCAGTCAGCTTGACTTCCACAATATTTTGTCATGGTATCTCTTAAATACTCCATGTTCTGTCATAATTCTAGCATGGCACAACATTCTGTATTCTAAGCTGAAGTTAATCAGTACACACTGTGTGGCAAAGACATACAAAAACTAGGTAAGAACAGATCATGTACAGTGATATGAATAACAGTACTACAACCAGAATTTGGACAAAAATAGGCATCAAAAGCGTCGTTCTTTTCATATTCCAAATGACCAGTATTGAGTTCAATACCTTGATTTTTCCCTAGGATTTGCTTAGCTACGCACTTGCAACTAAGTATGAACATATAATTTAGAGCTATCAATACAAGAACAGCAAGAAAAGGGATCTTTTTCCAAAAAGTAGCAAAACTGAAGCATGTTAAAAAAAACAAACAAAAAACAAAACAAAACAAAACCATCCTACCAAGCAAAAAAGCGATGCATGTAGTTATGGGTATGTTTTGATGTACTGAAACATCACAAAGCTGAATGAGCTCAAAGACAAACCACTTGGAAAAGGCTCACTGGAAAATACTTCTGTAACTCATTTTTGAACTGCCTATGTGGGGCTGCATGCCGTAATTTCTGAGAAAGAAAGTGGGGGGATCTTGGTCTTTAACAAGGTTAAACATACGCAGCTCCAGAGAGATTATCCAGACATCTGCCATCAGCTTCCTCCTGCTACATGGAGCACATCAGAATGGTAGAGACAACTGTTACACTACTATCTTTTATGCTTATACCAGCCCAGAGTAGTGATTTAAGATCCCGACTGGGAAAGAATTAAAAATAAATGTATCAAAGTCATTACGTCAAACAACTATTCAACAAATTGATGGTATTTACATAAAGGTTACTTTATGAATAGTGACCGTTTGAATGTCATCTTGACCCTTGGAACTCCTGAGGAAGCCTTCACAGAACAATGCAGACAATACCAGGCAAGAGTCAGCTCTCCGTGAAACTCAGAGAAATTTTGCATACTTTACTATAGAAATAAACAAATCAGTTTGCTTTCTTCCAAGTGGTTTTCGTAAGCATTTGCTAATTTTCTGGACAATTTTTTGCGCTTTCACTGTATTTCACTCTGCATGACAGGGTAGAAAATCATCCCACATGTATCAAACATGTATCACAAGTACCAAATTCACCTGGCCGTCCAGAAAAACCAGTAGCCCTTTTTTTTGGGGGGGGCAGGGGTGCAGGGGGTTCAGGAGGGCGAGATGGGACCTGCTATAACAACACTGCTCCTGCCCTTATATTTCTAACACTTTTATTTCACTCTTCCTTCTTCACTCATCCTTCTCCCAATGTTAGCAATAGATGAGTTTTGGTTACTTATGCTTTACCTCACAAAGCATGCAAGAACAACCATAAGCAATCACCAGTGACTTCAGTAGTTACTGCATTAACTTGCCAAAAGCTGGAAACTGATGGAGCAAATTGCACTTATGTGACTAGTGCGATTGATCATCTCAACATGCAGTTAAACGGGAGATAAACAGTTTATACATCCCCCTCTCCTTTCTATTCTATAAGTAAACTTGAGAGATTATAACATATATACATTTTTA